AAAAGAAAAACATTTATTAGTTATCTCAATAAAGATCAAATTCACTAACCCATTATTATTTTAATTGTTTATTTTTCATATGGTGTTTGTGCCATCTCAAAAATTATAAACAAATTAACTGCTTTATTTTGTAGAAGAAAATAATTTTATGTATGTAAATTATATCAAATAGTTTAAAATATGATTGTTTATGAATGAAACAATAAAGATAGAATTGGATGATTACAGTTGTTAGCAAGGAAAATGCCAAATTTTGAAAAAAGGAAGAGTAGACTTTTGTAGGGTGTGGATGAGTTGAAGGGAGAGGGACAGAGACGCGTGCTTTCATTCTTCTGTATGCTTCTTATGGTAATTTCACTGCAATTTCATGTGGTCCAAATTACCACTTTGTTACCATTTCCTTGTCCACAACTTGTGATCACTGCCTCTTTTTATTGTAAATATTTATAAATATAATGTTTGGTAAAATATTATAAAAGAGAAATGTACTTTACAGTATAAAACAAACGTTATTTTTCTTATAAAAATAGAACGTAGAAAATATTATTTAGCCAGTATAAATAATAGCACAAGGACAAAACTTGATTTGATCAGCGGAATTGCTATACATATTATTGGATAAAAAATTATATTGCGAACTACAAGAAAGTAATTGAATATCAATGGAGAAATCCAACGGTGACAAATTTCTCCATCAGAAATTTAAACTTTTAGCTTCCATCAGAATATTTTAATGTAAATGTTTTGGTAGAATTTATTTCTTTTATTGGATTTTTCATTAGATTTTGACGATTTCAATAATAATTTTTTCATCGGTTGAAATTATGACGAAATAAGTATTGCGGAAATAACATATTTGATGAATGCATGCAATTTCCTATAATAGTCATCCATTGAATAAATTGTTATTGGAATAATCAAATTTCAATTATTCCAAATAAATTTAATTTCAACGGAAATTCTCCAGAACTGATTTTGTTGGAGTTTTTTAACGACATTTATAAATGATAAACGGTTTAAAAAAACATAAAAATAAAATTGTCATACCTTTAGCACCATTGGTTATGACCCTTAGCTCCTTTTGTTGATCAATTTTGTCGAAGAAAGGGATCGGATGTAAATTATCAAGTGGTCAAATAGTGGAACTTCGGATGAGAGGTCAGGGTATTTTCATTATATATATTTATGGATGTAAAATTTACAAATACGATGAATAAAGAGAAAAAGTCGGACCAATCTATCTTAAGTTTTATAGTAAATCGTACGACCTCAGCATACCAATGTCTAACGACTAGCGTCTCAAAAGGCCCGATGCTATGTGATGTGGGCCTTAGAGAGAACAAGCTGACTTTCTGTCCCCCTTATAATGCCATCCCCTAAATATGTTCTGATTTTATTTAGTGACAATTTTTTTTTTTTTTTTTTTTTTTAACAATATTTTATAAAAATAATAATTAGTTTTATTTCATTTTTTTCTACAATTGCACTAATATAATTAAAAAAAATAATTATTAGTATATATTTTCAAACATATAACATTATTCACTCACACATATATTTTTATCTACCAATTAATATTTAATTGTTTCTTAATCAAGTCAAACTTTATTTATGTCACATTTTTTATTTATATCCATTTACAATTTCATATCTATTTACTTTTTTTTTTAAAAAAAAAAAATAGTATCTTTCATTTTTTTCATCTATATATTCAAAAGCGACGAAAAATTTCAATAAATGTTGTAACCAACAACAACCTTGATGATTGACATTTTGCTTCTTATTCACCAATAATGCAACCGTATGCTACAGAAGCTATAAAAATATGACGTAAAATTCACATATGAACACCTTAATAAAATCGAGTTTCTGCAAACGCAATTTTAAATGGCCAAATCTCAGGCTTGAAAGGCATTTTGATGAATTCGTGTACAGAAGATAACTTATCGACTTTAAATATTTTTTTAGAAATGTTACACGTACTTTTTGTAGACATTTCTATAATTTTGTAGAACTTTAAGATATGGAGGCTCACGATGAGTACCTAACAACCCCAATATGATGAAGTATCGATGTGCCAATGTAAAAAAATTTGAAGAAATGAGTCAAACGAGCAACAATGGAAGTGCAAAATTCTAAAACGACCCTTAACACGGGCAATGGGTTGTTAGACATGGGCACTCTTGCCGTGTCGCACACGCAGACTGATTTTTTCAACTTATCTATTTCGAAGAGAAAAATCCGGAGATGTTATAATTTGCAT